CCCCAAAACCCCAAAACCCCAAAACCCCGTAATCTTTTTTGAAAATTGAATTATTAGAATTTTAATAATGTTAAATATGATGCAAAGAAGATTTTTCTCGATTAATCATAAGAAAATTCCAGCAATTATTTCTGATATACATGGTGTGATAATTAAATAAGGGTAAAGGAATTCAGAACACAAAAGAGGCTATTGAAAGGATCAAGACATACCAAAATAGGTAGATGAATTCTACATCGATTGCTAGAAATTTGTATAGAGATGAAGCATCACTACCTTTCTTCTTGCTTTCCAACGGAGGAGGGACATCAGAGAGTTCAAAGGCAGAATCATTGAATAAAATGCTCGGAATCACTAATAAATCTTTGAAACTAACAGGAAAGGATATAATTTTAGCATCTTCTCCATTTAGATATCAGATTCCTAATCAGAATCAGTACTCTTGAATTTAACTTATAGGCTTTCTCTCATCTTTGGAGGAATTGACAGTATTGAAATGGCTGAAGATTATGGATTTAAGAATTACCTTCTTTGCCAAGAATATAGTTGTCTATTTCCTTACTTGGCTCCAACATCTATTAGAAATAGAACACATGAAGAGCGTAGATATCATTTGGAGAATTTAAGAGCTAGGAAAGGGCTTGATGAGAATATTAGAGAATTATCATATGCTCCGGAAAAGGAAAGAATGGCAGCTCTGTAAATAATTACTCTCATCATGTAGCCAAAAATTTCCAGTGCATTCTGCCTTTGTGTTTCATTATGTGATGAAGCTTGAAGAATCACTCCAAATCCTCAGTGATCTTGCAGTTTCTCCCACTGGATATCCTGGGCTGATTAGAAATCAGGAGGATCAACAGAAAACAAAGATATTTGTTGCAAATCCTGAGAGCATCAGTAATTATCTTTCTCATAGCATAGCATATACAGAAAAGTTTGCAATGAAGAGAATTGGCCAGGGAAGTTTTCTGAAGATTTTTCAAAATATCTTCCAACTCCAGTATGGTTTCAATGCTGATGTGACTGCATTTGGAAAACCTGGAATAGCCTCTTTTGATTATTGCTCAAACAAATTAGAAGCCATGCTCCAGGATAATCTTGGGGAGATCTACATGATAGGTGACTCATTAAAAGGAGATATCCAAGGCGCCAATAATGCCGGCTGGAAAAGTATTTTAGTCAAATCAGGAGATTATTGTAAGTCAATATTTTTAAAAATAGCTCAAAAATGAGGCAATATTTGTGAAGAAATTGAAACTCTTGAGTTCAAGCCAACCTATATTGCAGAAGATTTTTCTGAAGCTGTTGATCTTATCTTCAAAGAGCATCTTCAAGGATAAAATCCATACTTACAACATAGAGAATCTTTCAATATCAAGAATGGTAAATGGGGTTTTGGGGTTTTGGGGTTTTGGGG